TTTGGCCAAGAAGAGACTTTTATGTCAAGTGTTTCCTATTATTGTCATATTTGGTAGAGATTCCAGCACCTTGGGTTGAATTAAGAAGAAGAAAGCAGCAAATTAAAATGTTCCGGTGAAACTCTCTTTGTTATGGAAATATCGGACATTCCATTTTTCCAGCAGCTGTATTTGTCTATCCCAAATGCAGCTGGAAAAAAATGATGCCTCTTCAGGGGATTTTCCATTCCTTCCTTCCAGAACACAGACATCTTCTACCTTTTCTTCTAGGGCAGATGATACAAAGACACAGAGCTCATTTCTCTCCCTGCCCAAACCGAGGAGCTGTAGCTACAAGATTGGCTTAAATAAGAAAATCCGTGCTCTGAGAGAGGGGCATTTTAGATATGGGGGTTTTGATGGATCCTGACCTACTTCCTTCTTTCTGTGTACATATATATATGTGACATTCAAACAAACACTAGTTTCATAAGGAATCATTCATGTACTTTTAAGGCAGCTACGAACCAGGTGTCTAATCAGAGCTGGGTGACTAGCCTTTCTCCATGGGCAATGAAAAATGAGCACTTCTAGAAGGCAATTCATGTTATTTATCCTAAGGTGGTATGAATAGCCCTATAGACATTTCTGTCTTCCCTGACAACTGCAGAGGAAGCCTAGATAACCAGCTTAGGCTGGACCCCTGAAGGAAGCAATATAAAACCCATCATAAGTTTAGAGTCTAAGCAAATCACCTTGGCTCTCTCTTTATTAATAGTAAAGAGGGATGGCCTCCTCCTTCATCTTGTGTCTTAGACACCTATTCTACGGTGAGAGGACTTGCCTCCTGGAGAGGTCTGTCTCCCTCTCTGTAGGCTACAGCAGCAGTCTAGAAGTCGAGGTTACACTAAATGCCTTAGATGCCAACCTTGGGCCTAAATGTTGGTTGACTAACAGCAAGAGACAAACACCTCTCATTGCTCCAGAGGGATCTCCTACCTGCCTGCACATCGGTATCTGAATTAGGAGAAAAGGCTCTTTCCAGAAGCCTTCAAGGTGCTTCTCTTCATTGCCTGTACCATAAATTAGGCCCTTGCTTTGGGGAGACTGATTTCTTAAGAACCTAAAATATAGATGCAAATTAGAGACCAAAGTCAGGCAGACTGGAAGCAACTGTGGTTGGCGGTGCATTCAAAATAGGTAAGACAGTATTTAGAGGACAGACTCCTATTCCAGCTGCTATTTATCATCTATTTTCTCCTGCAGTCCTATACTGCAGTAATCTTGCATGGGTCACAGTTTGAAGAAGCTGACTAACCGCTATTTCCCTAAGCGCAGATAAAGTATATCAACTCCTCTGTACGCTCCATGCCTGAAGGAGCAAGCACTGAGGCCAAGTACTCAACTCCATACCTGTCATAAAGTAGGCTCAAATATTCACCACAAAAAAGAGTATACTTTAAAGGGGATTTGATGAAAAGAACTTGAGGAAACCTAGCAATCCCCAAATATATTTAATGCTGTATAAAATTGTTCCTGAGACTGCTAGTGATAGCCCCACAGCCCCTGAAGTTACTGCAATACGTCCTCCTCCAGGACCAGCTTCGGGCATGCACCCACCCTCACACATCCTCATCCTCCCCCTGCACCTCAAGTTCCTCCCTTTGTGGGCACAGTGAAGTGGAAGAGACGTCAGGAACATTTCATACCTGCTGTTCCTAATACACCTAATCCGTTTCAGATGAAAAGGATTTTTCAGATGAAAAGGATATCAGTCCATTTCACTGAAAAGGACTGAGTGGTTTTTATGGTCAGCTGCTGTTGGGAGGGAGATGAAAGTCGAGTCCTGGCTTAGGCTCGAGCGCTGTGCAGCTCCTGACGGGGACTGGTTAACCTGGTTCCAACCGCACAGTGCTTGGTACGGTGCTGAGCTTAGGCTAAGCTGGACTGGATTTACCCAACCTCAAGAGGGCCATGCTCATATAATTAGAAGATAATTCACATGGAACAAGAACTTTTCTGGACGAGGACCAGAATGCTCAGCACGTTGCAGGATTAACTACTTCCTGAGAAACTAAGGGTGTCTTAAAGTGTGCTCTCATTACCAGATTTGTTTCAAAAATAATAAATAACTTCAGAATTGTTTTTGTCAATCAAACCTGTTTATCATTTTTTCACTACAGTGCAAAAAACCAACACATTTTTTTCCCTGCTATGACTAATTCTCATCAAATAGCCTTCCTCAAAATGGGCAATAACTCTAGTTCTATTGTGCTTTTTGTCTATATTCTTTTTTTTTTTGAGGAGGGGATAATTGATCTTATTTGTTTTTGAACATTTCACTTTTATTCTTTTGAGACACTACTTGCTATTCTATCATCAGATACCGCCTCCAACACACAGTGGAATCAATGGCAGAACATGAGGTTAACAATAACTAGCCTGTGGCAAAGAACAGCTGAAGTAAATAGTCTGAAAGATGTTCTTTTTCTGCATGTTTATATAGATGCACATAGCACCTTCATGAATAGAACATCTCATTGATGCTTCTGGTGACCTATTGGTGCTGTCAGTTGGAATGGCATTAGAGTTTCACCCTAGCATGCACTTATTGAAATGGCCTTTATATTATATGGAACATAAAGAGATGTCCTTTATTCTTCAAGAAAAACTGCCATTTCTTGTTTTGATTTCTATAATAAAACAAAGATAAAAATCACATAAAGCTTAAATTACCATTTTAAAGAAGATGCTAACAGGAGAGGATTCTCGTTGTGTTGTATTCATAAACATACTGACTCTGTGAACTATAACGATTTTGTATTATTAAGGGCATGATCCTACAAAATACTGAGTACCTCTTGCAACTTGAGTCCTTGACTTTCATTGACTTCATGGGGTTTCTAAAAGGACTAGGGTTTCAACTGCAAGTATCCTCTAAAAAGCAAGTCTTTAGAAATTCCACCCCAAAGGCCTGAGTTTATTGTCTCACAAAGACACATTTGCTTAGTTTACAGGTGAATATTTATTTTCCTCACGTGACAGTTTTGCAAACCCAACTAGATGTCAAGCTGGATTTTCCCCCGTTCAAGCATCATCATCAGTAATAAATGTATTTTTGCCTTGGATACACCTGTGCAACTGCATTAGCCTTCATCAAGGTTACATGTGTGCCACTGAAGTTATATATGGAAGACAACTGGGACAGAGAGACCTGACTGTGGACACAAATCAACCTCTGGAATATTTATTGCTGATGATGATGTGAAAGAAGGCAAAAAGTGGTGAGGTTGGCAAGTGGGCTAAACCTTTGACTATTTTTTTCTTGTAACACATTTGAGTCTTATGTGAGCAGCTGAACGACAATAAATGCTGAAATCTAGGGTTTTGCTTTCATTGTCTCTTTTCAGAGCATTTAAAAAGTTTTTTGTTTTTTTTTTTTTAATTATTTCATATCAGATCAGTGTTCAGCCTAAAGTATATCTCCATTTGATAACTAAATAATAAAGCAGAAACATTCCTCAGCATACTTCTAGAAATAGATGCTGTCTGGTGACTTCTGCACACAAGCAGATGTCTTTGCAGCAAAATCCAAAGGACAGTCTTCAGCCAGTCAGTTACTGGCTTTCTGTAAGTTGATTCTAAGATTTTCTTTCCTTATAGACTACTCCTTATCACCCTAAAGAGCACATATTGTAGCCTTAACAATCAAATGATAATGAGCAGACAGAAAAGAAAGGAGAGGAGAGATCTGGCATAGCTACAGCTAGCAATCATTAGATTTACAGAGGGGAAAAGACATGCTTCCTAGGCCAACATATTTTTTATGAATAATTGATAAGGCAGCCAGCACAGTTATATCATAGAAATGTAATATATATCCATAATTATAAAACCAGCTCTGTGCAAAAGGACATGATACACTGAAAGGAGATACCAGCCAATATGCCATCCTGAAATAAAATACAGTCACTATTGTGTTAGTTGGCAAAATTTAAATACAGGATTTGAAGCAAGCAAAATGTTCTTTAATCCCATTTTTTAGCACAGTCCAGGCTCAGTCTGCTCAGGAAAATACTGCAAGGCAAAATCAGCAGCTGCATTAATTTGCTGATGATTGAGAGAAAAATGAAAGTTATCCTCATGTTTTTTTTCTCCCTACTTGCTACTCTAACTTACTAATAATACGAGAGTACCAATTTATTCCTATGCGAGTATATGAAGCATACAAATTGAAAAATCAATGTAATGGAAAAAAAAGATTATCATGCACTGTTTAGAATCAATCAGCTAGAAACAGAGGGGGGAAAATGCGAAGGTGGAGACATGATGTTTGGAAAATGTACATATTGTACCTTCCCTAAGATAGAGAGTTTGTAAGAAAAAAACTACCCTTAGTCTAACATGCAGACTGAGCTATATTTTGACCAGAAAATCATCTTATTTCCAATCTTTTCTAGAGAAATTAATCAGTTGTCTTTTCTTCTTTTAGAAGTCCCCAAATAATAAAAAATATCAATCCCTTTGCCCATAAAAGCCACACAAAAGCATGTAACAAAGATTTCAGGGTGAAGGGATTACGATACTCAAAATGCTTTATTAGCACGATGTCTCAGCATCATTCACCAGAACGCTGATGGCTTATTGTAGCCCGAAGGGCAGACTTTTGTCGTATGTGACAGAGTCCCTTGAAAACATCGACAGCAATAATTTTTAGTTGTGGTCTGGATCACCATTAGCAGTTGAGGTTAAATCTTAGATCTCTCAGTGGTGGAACACTTTCTTCGGCCAAAACCAGCCTCTACTGATCAGAAATAATTACACTATACGAGTCGGATGCGTAACAAATGGGTCTGAGTCTCAGTTTGGAAATACATTCAGAGGAGGTGGAAAGAATGGCTACTGGCTCTGTGACAGGAGATTCAATCTTCATAAACCTGCAAGAGAGGGGAGGAAAAAAAAGCGACACAAATGCGCCCTACAAAAGAACAGAGCAGATCACAGCTGGAAGGAAGGCAAACCTTTTAATCAGGTCCTTGAAATACAAGCTGCAGGAAGCTAGAACATTTTGGTGGACTTCAAACTCTTTGCCTTCAACAATAATTTTCAGGTCTGTAAACTCTTTCGCTCTGCGTTGCTGGTTCAACTCCTTCAACATTTCTGCAGAACAGAGAAGACAGACAGTGCCAGGGTTCCCATTAAGAGTTTTTTATTTTTACTTTTTACTTTTCATTTTTTTTTTGTAAAGAAGTAGAGAAACAGGAAACAACTGATATTTTTGTCAGTAAGATTGGCTCAACATAGACAGTCAGAAGTTACGAACATAACATATTTAAAAAAGAAAAAGAAAAAAGCAGGAACCAGTACGTCTAAACAACTGAAATATATATACAGAAAAAAAGGAAAAACAATCCTAAATTTGGAAGGATTAAAAACGAAAACAAAATATTTCAGCATCAGCAAATCAGAAACACAGAGAATGCATTATCACAGAAAAGTTAAAATAATTTGTTATAATAAAAATCAAGAGCTAATGAATTTCTATCCAATGCAAATAAGTTTTGAACATACTAGAATAATATTAGTAATATGGTATTATGATGCAATATGAACTGGATATGGGTCAAAATAATAAAACCACAAAACCTGCAAAAATAACTTATTCTTAACATAGTAAAAATGTGTTAAGCCTCTCAGTTAACAGAATAAAATAATACTTCTAAATAATATATAAATTACAGTGCATAAAAAATTAGCCAAATTACCAATGCATCTTGCAATATACCTCAGCTATACAGACTACAATTGTATATGTTTCAGAATTAGCTTAAAAGCATCCTTATGATAAAAAATAATCTCACGCAGAGAATAAATTACTGCCTTTTATAGCAATTCCCATTTTTTGCACTCCAAGGATTTTTACCATCACAGCATTTTTATTTTTTAGCCTTCAATGGCTTCATTTACAGCAACAATCAACTTTCACACATCATGAAAGAACCATAATGATTAAAATAACCTATGAAAGTGTTTCCATCCTGCAATAAAGCACCTACCTTGCGTGATGCCTCCTTTTATAAAGCCTATTGGTACTAACAGAATGAAATAATAGCATGCCACGTCGTCGTGTGTGGATGTGAACTACTAAGCAACCTACATGTTTTATATACTGGCGGGACTTTTAAGGGTAAGACTTCCCTCCAACTTTGCAGACCAAGTGGTTACCAAGGTGAATAATATACTCTCCACCTGGGCGATAGCCTGGCGGTTTAGAAACCAGTGATCAAGATGATAAAAGAGCTGATTTTAAATACTAAAGGATTTTGGTTTTATTTTATGTTTGCAATAGGTCAAGGTTCTCATTTTCTCAGTGTAACACCTTGAACACATTCCTCTTCAGACAGATCTGTAAATCAACAGCAGTTCTTTACATGGAGTCCCTCCCTACAGAAAGTAAAAGGGACCTGAAGAGTGTGTAACTATAACTGCATTTGATGCCACTGCTGGGCTCGGGCACTGGGCTGCCAACGCATCGCCAAAGGGCCTTACGGTGAAATGAAGATCCAAATAATCTCTGTGTTCTCCTGCTTCCTCAATGAAACTCAACAGGAATCGTTTCAGCAAAGCACTAGTGGTTAAACAATACGAAAACAGGCAAATATACAACTGTTACATGAAAAGAAATTGAAGTTGTCCCAAGCCCCAACATCTGTGGTGCACATTTTTCAGGCCTAAGTAAATAAATGTCACCTTGCACATTTATGTCTATTTAATGGAAACACAGTAGTGTCTGAAAGGCTAATTATTCTGTGCTGAAATGGGTCAGTGCTCTCCAGAGAGCAAGCAGATCATTAGAGAGGGCACAGGAATAACAGCAGGCTTGTGTCAGATCTGTAATAGGGGAAAATAAACCACTCTGTCCTGTGGGTGCTATAGCAGGGACTATTTTTAACAAATTCATCTGAGCTAAAGTACAATGATACATTTTGAGCAAAACTTAAAGTGGGAACTGAATGTTCACTCTTCTGCAGGGAAGTCCAGCCTTTTGCTGGAGGTTTGATGCCTAAAGTCTGACTTGACCATGGACGCTTCAGGCCTCAGTTAAAGACCAAAGATGCTTTGGACACCAGGGATGTTCTACCCGATTTAGGGTCAAAGTGACTAAAGGCTCTGGTTTCACAGGAACAGCACCAGGTGCTTTCTTAGCTGCATATTTTTGGAAACAATTTTTCTGTCCCTTTTCACATATGAATGACTTTTTTTTTTCTGTCTTGGTCCATTTTCCCACTTTCACTTACAGCAACTACATTTTTCTCTGACCAATTTTCTATCATTTCATGCCTTAAAGACAGTTACTTTTTCCTCTAGACTTTCTGATACTCTCTTATCCCCTACTTAATTTCACTTTTGTTTTCTGTCATTCCCCTTTTCAAATTTGCCCAGCTACTGTCCACCATCCCCATTTGCACTTTTCCTAAGTTCCTATTCAAAATCCTTTTCTCTAGTATCTGTGGCAGCCCTTTACAACCTTCCTTGCAGAAGCATTTCAAGACAAGGGCTCCAACCCAGACTAAGCCACACTTACACAAGGGGTCAATCTCCATCTCACCTCATTCCATTTCCTCCTTTTAGAGCTCATGATCAGTTATTCTTAGTGCTCAAGGAGTGCAACTGTGTGACTAGCAACCACACTGACAGATACTGCACTCCAGGAGAGGAGAGGAACAGAGTTTAGTTGCACTTGGAACGGGCTGGGGGTTTTTGGAGGTGGGCTCAGGGTAAGCAGGATAGTAGAGACCATCTGTGACCTCATGACTATGGTTGAGATGACTGCTGAATAACAAGACACAAAGTTCAGCCACTGCCCCTGTAGATGCTGTGCTCTCTGTACTATCTCCAATATTGTGAAAGCTGGTTTGAGCATCTCAGCCCCCAAACGGCTCCCCCAGGTAATGGGCTGATTACTTGGACTTTACTGAGCACCCTTTAATTACATCCAGTCCTGCAGTTCCTGGACACAGTTACTATCTGTGCTCTTTACACGCTTCGGTGTGCTTTATACTGTATGTGTTCATTAAAGGATGCAAGCCAGAAAACACGTGTCTGCAGCAGTGGTGCAACCTGGCTCATACAAAACCAGAAATCAGAACAAGCCCCAATCAGAAACTGAAGCTCTGTTTTTCTATAGAAAGTCTGAGGCCAGAATTCCCTCCTTGTCCCCCTGACTTGTTACAGTGCTCTCCACAGAGAGATGAATACGAACAGTCCTGTATTTTTTGTAGCTCAGTTTCTGAACTAGAAAGAGAAGAGGCAGGTGGAGAGGAGAAGGAAGCCAGGAGACTGCATCGATTCATCGATCTTCCTTGCTGAGGCCCCTTTGTATTACTGAATAACTAGCAGGCATTAGTATTGGACACAAGGTTATATCAGAACGGGCCCTCACTCTCGGAGTATTTGTAATGCTCACACTGTGCTTAGCCAGGCATTAATGATTTATGAGGACTCAGGATGAGTTGCAAAACAAATTTTTTCACCGGGTAATAATGACTGCCGATGAGTTGTAAAAGGAGAGACAACACAGTGCAGTCCTGGCAGTGAAAAATGATCTCCGCTGTCTCCTGCTAGTCCCTCTTCTGGGCTCCTCCTAATTTTCAGCATTTCCTCCAACAAATGGAACTTCCTGAAACTTTCAGAAAGGGATGTGCTGGGAATTTCCTAGTGGTTATTTACTCCTCTGGTTTCTTTGTTCGTACAGAGGGTTTTTTCTTTCTTTGCTTTTTTTTCTCATTCAACCTTTTTTTAAAGAGATCCAGGTAAAAAAGAAGTGCAACAACAATTAAAGTTCAAAGTTTCAGCAGGGTGGACACTCATGATCCCTGTCCTCAGTGAATCACAGCAAATGCACTCGCATCCATAGCGCAAGGGATTTTCCTACCTGCCCCAGGTGCACACAGGCGTTGGGATTGCAGAAGCCAAGCCAGTCCTTTCTGTCTTCTTCATCACTACCGATGCTAAATCATTCTCAGTCAAAGACTGCTTAACGTTTTCTTCATGAAGAAGTACACAATAGATACCTCTGCAGTTACAAGCCACATAGCAGTAGAACCTAAAGGGGACTTGACCTGAAACCTGCAACTGAACATCTCTACAGAGCTTGTGAAAGGAAGCACTTTCTATTTTGCCATTATCAGCCTTCATCTCTCTGCTTGGGGGCATTTAAACATAATTATACTGAGAGTCCCAGAGACAATATGGGGCAGAAGGTGTTAAGTGACTTTCCTCAGGTCAGGAACAGAGCCAGGAAGAACTCAGAAGCCATGATTCCTGGTCCTCCAGCTCCACCCATCACACTACATTTTCTCCCTCTTAATTAATGGACAAATTACAAATTACATTAAACTGAAGAGCCCATAAGCATTGGATCAAATGTAGGACCAAGAACAACTGTGTAATTGTGTAGATCAAGTAAAGGGAACAGAAGTTATGTAGTGAATCTTTTTTAAAAATTATGATCAGAAACAAAAATGAACAAGGAACTTATTTAGTTATTAAGTGAACAAGTTTATTTATTCTGTATTTTAAGCACAGTGGAGGCTGGATACCCAGTCAAAGATCCTCTCTAAGCACATTCCTGTGGCAAAATGGAAGCTCTCAGGCTTCTTTCCACTTTTAATGCAGAACTCTTTACTTAAATTCTAGTAGATAAGGCTTTAAAAGGGGGCAGCCAGAGCTAAAATATAATGAGGTGTGAAATATTGAAGAACACGTTTTACAAACAATATTTTTTTAAATTTGCTTGGAAAAACTAACTCATTATAAAACTGCAAAGGGTAATTGATGAAACATCACTTATTATTCTTGTGAAAAACATGCAAGAGACCAGTGCTTGCCCAGACAGCCCCATGCATTCATGATTGGGACAGAAAATGTGGGGAAGCCAAGAAAAGTTACCAGAACGAAAATCCAATTACTTTCTTTCCTTAATAAGTAAGGAGATTAATTCCCAAGGTTATGCTCTAGTTGTGTAAAACGAACATTTTAACCATTAAGTGCCAGCACTGCCTACACTTGCTCATTTTCATAGACAGTGGTAGAGCGTGTGTAGCTACAAGAAATGAAATTATGAAGCAAAAGAGCTAGCAGTCCAATAGGAGTTAC